GGCAGAAAAAAATGCCAATGGGGTGGGGAGGAGGTGGAAAAGAGAGGAAAGATGAGGAAATGGAAAATGGGGAGAAGATATGCCAAGCACGGGAGAGACAGAAAAGTCGTCTGCATATGTTCCTCTGTTGGGATAGTTTTTCTCTCCCTGATCTCACTTTCTCCACAGCCAGAAATTCCACCTCAGGATTTGCCAAGGGGAAAATGTAGCATTTCTCTGCTGGGCCACAAAGCAAGTGTGAAATGCTCTGTTTTAATCATTTACAGAACAAAAGGAACACAACAGTCACCATCTGATTCATATCTGCTGAAATCCAGCAGCTAAAGCTGTGGGAGAGGAGATGAAGAAAGGAAAAAGAAAGGAAAGGGTGGTTTGTTTTTTTTTTTTTCTTCTGGTTAGTCACTGTTGACCTAAGACAAGGAGGACCACATTGGATTATTGCAAAGTTTAAGAGCTCCTAGTGTCCTCTCCAGTAGATGACTGCAAAGAAAATACATAGACAATTACAACTGCTGTTTCCTCTAGTACATGATCCCATTTCCCTTTGTTAGCCAGAAGGTTTAGCTGCATCATCAAGTTTGAGAGGCCTTCATAGACCTTTCTCCCATGATGTTTTCTAATCACTTTTTGAGCCGTTCATACTTTTGGCACCCTGGACATTCTGTGGCAGCAAGCTGCACAATGGAATTGTATGCTGAGTGAAGACATACTTCCTTTGGGCTGTTTTAAGCCTTTCCCTCTTTCACAGAATCTCAGACTGGTTGAGGCCAGAAGGGGCTCTGCAGGTCATCTGCTCTAACCACCCTGCTCAGGCAGGACCACCTAGACCCTGTTTCCCAGGACCATGTCTAGATGGCTTTGGAATTACTCCAAGGATGGAAAGTCCACAACCTCCCTGAGAAAAAAACTGTTTCCTGATATTCAGAGGGAACCTCCTGTGTTTCTGTTTGTGCCCATTGCCCCTGGTCCTGGCACTCGGCACCACTAAAAAGTCTGATTATAACCTCTTTACAACATTCCTATGGGTATTTTTACACATTGATGAGACCCAGCTCTCTCAGTCTTTGCTCATAGAAGTGCCACAGTTCCTTCATCACCCTTGTTGCTCTTTGCTGGACTACATCCACTATGCCCATGTCTCTCTTGCACTTATTTATTTCTATGCCATTCATAATTCTTGTACTGCTACTCTACCTTCCTTCAAGCATCTCTTTTCCACCTAATTCAGCTGTAATTTACTCAGAGCCTGCTTTCATGGAAGCTGCTCTCTCCCTCAGTCACTTTTGCCTCCCTTGCTGGGTACTTCACCAAGGAACGTCAGAAATGCACAAGGTACAGGGGAGTCACTGATTTACACAGCAGCAGACCATAGAGAGGTTTTCAAAGGTTAGGCAAGGCAAAGCAGAGCACAAATCTTTAAGACAAAGAGAGAAAGAAGAGCTAGGAAGAAATTTTCCATTCATTGTTAATTCTATCATTGGAAGCTTTGGAATCACCAAAATTTTTGCAAACATGTAGAGAAGGAGTATGAGAAACATCCAGCACAGACTCAGCAAAGAACAGAGCTGTCAGACTCATCTGACCTGCTGCAATGAGGTGATAAACCTGGTAGATGAACAAGAGAGAAGGTGCAGATGCTGTATGTGTTGGTGTAAAAGTGACTTCGGGTACTGTGTCATGTGGTGTCACTATACACAAGATAGGAACACCCGGGCTACAATAAAATATGAAAAGATGGATGTGTGTCTGCTCAAAACTTTTCTTAGTTACTCACGGTATGATGTGATGCAAAAAACCTCTCATGAATCTGTCCCAAACAGCATTTCCACAAATAATGCAAAGTCCAAGGACAGTTTTTTACATTTGCAGTGGACAGCAAGCTGGGGCAAGCTGGCAGAAAGCTGGACACAGGATTAGAGGTCAAGGAAGACATGATGAGCAGGAAAAAAGAGATAAACTCCACTGATCCTCCATTGGATGCCCCCTTCAGCCCCTGCAGAGTGGGCAAGAAACTCTCAGTCTGACCCTTGGAAGGCCCTTTTTCTGCTTATGCCTGCCTTTGGCTTAAATTATGGAAATCTAATTAGACACTGTGGAAACCCCTCCAGGGCAGCAGAGCACTGGGGTGAGTTGCCTGGGAAGGCTGCAAGGGTGAGTTGGTCCTGCACACAGGGTGATGTGTGAACAAGAGCCACTATCCCTGCCTCCAGGGAGAAGTGAGATGTATCTGTCTTCCTGAAGTCCTGCTCAGACCTGCCTTTCTGTGATTTTTATCCTTATGATGCTTTATTACAATATTGATGTTTTGTCACAGCATGTTCTTATTATAATATTCCTTTATCTGTTGCTCCTCTACTAATAACTCCTGCTGTTCAGGTGGCTGGTTTGACCAGGGCTTTGTATTTTTGACCTGGTATTCTTTGGTTAACAATCACTTCACAGCATAAATCCAAGGTGCTACTGGGATGGCCTTGTCCTCCACCTCTCCAACCTGTGCTTGGTCTTACCACCTGCCTTACCTGGCACTGCAAACCAGACAGCCGGGCCTGACTTAGGCCAGGGGACTGATCCAGGTGAAAACTCACCAGCTGGGAGCAAGGCAAGAGAAGAAATCATATTTCCATTACTTGTTCTGCTATCTCATATCCTTTGTCTGTCTAGTCTACCTTGGATAGAGTAATCATGTCTTGTGCTATGTTTGGAAAGCAGAGTGGAATTGTAAGGTGATATAAGCACTGGTTTGGATAATCTTTTCCAGACTGAGGGATGTCTAAACATTTGGGCAGAGGAAAGTGGTGTCTGAGCAGTTCCTCCTAAAATTGACTACAATTTGTTATTAGGAAAGGGAGCTTTTATCTTTATCACTAAATACTAAGATCTAGAGGGTTTGCCAAAGTTAGAAGAAGTGGGCACCTGCCATTGAGGAAAGACTCTGTTCAAGGAATAAGAGAAGGAACACCAAGAGGATAAAAGGAGCTGGTGTAAGTTCTGTCACAGAAAATGCATTTTAAAGTTATTTGACATGTTTTAACATCACACAATCAGGTAATGAATGAGGCAGCCAAAGGAAGGCTCTTGGCTTTATGCCTGCTCCCTGTTAAGACACTCCTCTGGGTGAATGCATGTCAGAGCAGTCTCTATCCTGACACCAAGTGGAGAGAACTCACACGAACTACTTTAAAATGTGATCCTCACTGCCAGCGAGGACAACCACTCCACGTGCCACCCATTCTAGAGCCAGTGAGGCATACAGTTTCTAAGCATTTTTGTATTTCTAGGAATTTTTTTTTTAAGAACCTGTCTCTTAGCAGCTGAAATATAAATTGGAGATAGTTATGCTTGATAAAAACTGCTCTCTGGACTCCTGCAGTTTTACCCTCCTATCCCAAGTTTCCACCAGCACCATACGTGGTGAGTACCCAGTGGATGCATGTGGATCATCTTTACTGGGGTCAAGGTGGGTTTCAAGAGTGGCAGGGTAGTCACAGAATCACAGAAAGGTTGAGTTTAGCAGGGACATTTGGAGTTCATAGGGTCCAATCGCCTGCTCAAGCAGGGCCACCTACAGCCCATTTCCCAGGTCCGTGTCTAGAGAGCTTTTGAATACCTCCAAGTGTGAGGATTTCTTGCCCTGAAAATGAAGAGGAGGGTGCCTTTTCCTTGTGAGGAGGGGCCAGTGCTCAGTCATGCCAAGGTGATGCATATTGCAGTGTGCTGTAGCAGTCCCACCATGCTGCCAAAGAGCAAGGCAGGGTACCTAGTCCTGAGGCTGGCATATCTCCCAGTGTATTTTATTGCACAGCATGCATCTTTCCAGCATGCTCTTCTCAGGAGGGGTTGGGAGCTGGTCAGCTCTGGGCTCCTCAGTACCAGACAAATGTGGAGCTCCTGGAGCAGATACAGCAGAGGATTACAAAGAGGATTAAGGGACTGGAGCATCTCTCTTACAAGAATTGGCTGAGGGCCTGCTCAGCATCATGAAGAGATGACTGAGAGGTGATCTTATCAATGTCTGTGAGTACCTGAAGGGAGGTGTCAAGAGGATGGAGCTGGGTCCTTCTCAGTGGAGCCAAGCAATAGGACAAGATGCAACAGGCAGAAACTGATGCACAGGAAGTTCCACTTGAATATGAGGAAAAGTTTCTTTACTGTGTGGGTGACCAAGCACTGGAACAGACTACCCAGAGAGATATATCTCACTGGAGATATTTTGGAACTATCTGGATTCAACTGTGCAATTGATGGCACTTAAGCAGGAAGGTTGGACCAAATGACCCTCCTGTGGTCCCTTCCAGCTTTACCCATTTTGTGATTCTGTGATTTTCCCCTTTCCATGCACATCAGACCTCCAGTGCTGAGTGGCCAGAAGCCCTCCTTCAGAAGCTTTCCATCTTGCAGCTCCAATCTTCACCACACCTTATCCAGAACACCTCTAACTCACCCTGAGAATCACACCTCTTTCGACCTTGGCCCTGGGATTAAGGGGAGATCACTGCCAGATAAGGTTTCCCCATGGATTCAGCCTCTGAAGCCTTCAGCTGCCATTGCTTATTGGAGATTGTTTTCTCTCTGACTGTCTTACTCTTCTCTCTTGCTTTACACATCTCTACTTCTGCCTCCCAGGTGAAGAAAAATCCCTCATCATTTTGCAAAGTGCCAGAAAGTCACAGAAACTCCAGTACCAGCCACTGGCTAAGCCTCAAACTCCCAGCCAAGAAACAACAGCATCCTTTAGTGCTCTGCACCAGAAAGGCAACAGCTTTTTGCCCAGGGGAAAAAACCCTGCATCAATTTAACACAGAAAGCTATCAAACACATCTAGTGTCAAGTTAGTCCATCCCTCTGATGGATGGCATTCAAAAACACCACTGAAAGGAAGGACTGGTGCTGATAGATTTAAAAGCATTTACCAGTTGCCCTGTTGTTTAAGTCATCTCCTAATTACTCAACATTAAAAAAAAACAAACAGGCAGAGGAAAATGTGTCGTGCATGGACTTACCCAGCTGATCCAGAGCAAAGAGGGCTGGGGCACCTTCGGAGAGCTCATTGTCTGAGGGAAGAAGAACAAACACTAGGGAAGTCAGCTGGGGAGATAGATGAGGACAGATGGGGTGACAACGCTGTTTTAATCACACTGCAGATAAGCCCCTGCTCAGCTTGCTTCCAGTTCACCCTGACAGCTTTCATGTGCCTGTTGGGGGTTTTCTTTTCATTCAGATATTATCGAAAAACCTCAGAACCAGCTCAAGACAGAGACTTGTCAGGATGAGCCCTAAAGAGCAGAAGCTCCACTGCTCCATCTGTACCCTCCCTGGGATCCCCAGTAGTGCTCCCCTGTTTGTCCATACCACAACTCTTCACTCCCTTTCTTCAATTTAGCCGGTGCTCAGGGCAGGGCCAGGAGCACCCTGCCTGCAGCAAAGCTTTCCTGCATGCTGCAGTCTCCTCCAACAACAGCAGCTGGAGAAGGTGTAACCAGCAGGAGCAAGAATTATTCAGAGTCTGACCAAACCTATGAGTTATCTGATAACAGCTCTGCAGTAACCCAGTGCCTGTGACAGGTGAGACCACGGGCTCTGGAAATCCCTGAGCTGGTGCCATCTCTCACCAACAATTTGTAGGGGTTTACTTTGCAGCCCATAAATGAGCCCACCCAATCTTGTCTGCTCCCTGTGTGCACAACACACACAGATCCCTCACTACCAGTAAGATCCACAACCACACGGGAGCATGTGACCAAGCATTGAATTCCATTTGTGCCTTGTAGTTAATGGGGATTTTGCTATTTTCAAACATTTCTTGCAATGTCAAAAATGCTGTTAAATTGAAAAACCCAATGAAAATTTTAAAAAAATTAAATTGCAGAGGGTGGGGGTTTTTGCGGTGTTTGGTTTTGGTTTTTTATTCCTTTATGATTCATGGCATTTTTTTCAACGAATGGGCTTGACTTAAAAATCTTTTGATCTGGAGTCTGTGGATCCCTGTATTCCCAGGGGTTCCAGGAGGACATTTGAGAAGGGCAGGTGCATGGTACCCTACAGCAATCCCATAACTGTGCCCTTTCAAAGCGATCTTGCCCCCTGTAATAAAATGCTCTTAGGCCAAATGATTAGAAAATGTTGTGAGCCACGAGTTTAGGATAGCAATGGGCTGCATACAAAACCAAAAGCCAATGTATAAACACATTCAATTGTTCAACTGGTTTGGGTTTCTATGAACCCCTGATGGCAGTGACCCTGCCATCCTCTGCTTTAGAGACACAAGCACAGTGCAGTCCTGAAGTCTACAGGCATTTAACCAATACAGGTATAAACAGTAACACAGACCATGCACATAGCAAAGACTTTTAAGAAACAATAGAAGCAGAGATTGTTCTAATGGGGAAGAAGAGTGGACTGCAGCAAGCTTCCCTGTGCTGTTGCCCTGGAGCCACCCTGGGCTGGGTACCTGCAGAAGCAGCAGATGTTCTATCATAAGGATGTTGCCCAGTGGTGCTTTGCTGGGGATATTGAACCCAGGACTCAAAAGCATAAATCTACTTATGGGTTGAAAAGCATAAAGCTACTTATGTAATTCAGCTCTCACAGAAAAGGAGGCGATGCCACATCTTGGTTTGTCCCTCTCCCTTCCCCCAGCATCTGTGCTATCAGCGGGAAGCCAAGGGAAACAGATGGAGATAAGTGAGCGCTTTACCAAAGCAAAGTGTTTCCGTTCCCAAGGTGCTGCCATCTGGAAGGCTGCGGGTTTATTTTGGTTTTAGTCTGGGGCACAGCACATCCCAGACAAAGAAGGAACTTTGCCCAGGGAGGGACAGCTTCTGCTGGCCCTGGGGACAGGGACCTCCAGTAAAAAAGGTGACCTGGGCCTAAGCAAGGAGCACTTGCGGCTGCTCGTGCCAAATGTTCAATTGGGGATTAAAAAGAAAGTAAGCAGCTGATTGGGAATTTGGTAGAGATGAATTGATCGAGGAAATAGGACTGCTGGCTACTCTCATTGCATCTGCACCAAATGCTTTCCTGAAACAGGGAATTTCTAGAGAGCAATGAACCCCAGCCTTGAGATGGGACATCTTGTGTCTGGCTAAGGTGGGCTGAAGCCTTGAACAGCCCTTGCACAGGGAGCCCCAGTTAGGGCAGCCCCCTTGTCATTGGCAGGACAGCATGTATCCCTGCAGCCAACCTAAACTGTCCCACAAAAACATGATTGAAGAGAATATTTTATCAGGTCTCCTGTCACTCCTTCCCAACCATGGTCATCTGCAGAGTCCTACTTGTGGACAGTGAGGGTGGTTATATCTAGCACAAGTGGAACATTAACTGGCCAAAAGATGGGTGTTGGGGCCTTTTTTATTTTTCTTATATATATATTTTTTTGGTTTTTTAAATTCCACTCCAAAGCAGGAAAACAAGCTGCAGACCAAGTGGCTGTGTCAGTGTGACAGTTTGGATCTGACCTTTCCCACCTTCATACCAAGTACTGCCTGGGTCTGGACATAGCCCAGCAAAACCCCTGGGACCACTGCAAGCACAGTGAATGGCAGCAGCACATTGGGAAGGCTCTCAGCACTTTCACTGGGTGGATTAAGAGCCAGCAATCATATCCTACCTCCTTTCACATTGGAAAAGGGGTGGATCCCACCATGAGACAACCAGTTTGTTTCATCCAGCTTCCAGTTTTCACCAGGGTCCATCTCTGATCCGCAGCATCAAAGATCTGCTTGCAATGCCTCCTGCTGCTCTCTCTGGGGAATAACCAAAAGATACTCTGAGCATCTGTCATGTTGCTAGACCATAGCCAGCTGCTGAGAAGCTCACCTCAGCAGAGGAAAATCTTGTCAATGTTTCAGGAAAAAAAAGGAAATTATTTTTAAAAACTGGGGAAAAACCCACATGGCTCACAGGGAACTCTTGGACCATAGAGCTGCTGACTCCACTCAACTTATCAAGCCTCTCCACTGCATCAAAAGGCCACCAACACTTGGACCTCCTAAATTTCTGTTAGCAGTCTGACCTACACTTAGAAATTCCTAATCCATCATGATACTTGCAGGGATGGTGTTTTACCTCTGAGTTTTTACCTCTGCAGGGATGATGTTTCACAAGGACATCCATCAGGGATGTGTGTCTTGGCTTTACAGGCCTAACCATCAGGTCTTGGCAAGTGAGGAGAGTGGGCAGGCTTTCTGGCCCTTGTTCCCACATCCCAGCTCCTCCATGGACAGGAATTGTAGGCTGGAAGTCTCAGTCAGATATACATTCCAAGGCAATGCTACCACTGGCCACTCGGCTCTCACAGCTGCCCAGGCCCAGAGCAATGGCTGTGAGCCACCACAGAAGGATGGGGATTATGGAGCTGTTAACACAGGAGCTCTCCACCCTAAAAAGTTCCTTTTTGGTGTCGACACTAAATTATTTTCCTGACTATCAGTTATTCAGTGCAACCCACAGGTTTGTTGCACGTGGGAATCCTCATGGAGACATTTTCCTTGGCTCCTTGGACCTGTGCATCTGGGCAATCCCAGATGTGAGCAAAGACTCTGAGAATAACTCATGGAGAGCATCCCTGCAGAGGACTTGAGGTTCTCATGGCTGGACAGCTGGACACGAGCCAACAGTGTGTGCTCCCAGCCCAGAAAGCCAACCTGAGCCTGGGCTGCATCCAAAGCAGCGTGGGCAGCAGGGTGAGGAAGGGGATGCTGCCCCTCTGCTCTGCTCTGGAGAGACCTCACCTGCAGGGCTGTGTCCAGCTCTGGAGTCCTCAGCAAAAGAAGGACACAGACCTGTTGGAATGAGTCAAAAGGAGGGCCATGAAGATGATCAGAGGACTGGAGCATCTCTCCTGTGAAGACAGGCTGAGAAAGCTGGGGTTGTTCAGCCTGAAGAAGAGAAGGCTCCAAGAAGACCATATAACACCTTCCAATGCCTAAAGGTAGCTTATAAAAAGGTTTAGATTAGATATTAGGAAGAAATTCTTTCCTGTGAGGGTGGTGAGGCATTGGAACAGGCTGCCCAGCTGGAAGTCCTCAAGACCAGACTGGATGCAGCTTTGAGGACCTGGTCTAGTGGGTAGTGCCCAGAGCAGGGGTGTTGGAACTAGATTATCTTTAAGGTCCCTTTGAAACCAAGCAATTCTGTGATTATATGGTTCTATGATCCCTGGTGGGGTAGCACATACAGGCATTTAATGCATCCCTAGGCCTTCAGGATTACATGGATTTGAAAGGGAGCAGAGTCCTTGTGGTATCAGCAACCTCTAATTTATTAAGGAAGCATACAACAGTGTTGTGATGCAACAACAGTTTTTTGCCTCCGTTGGAAGATGCTGAAAAGGAGGTGACAAAGATTTTCCCTAGCACTGTCTGAAGCAAACCCAGACCCCAAATGGCAGCAATGGAGCTGATTTCATAGTGAGATGAGTCCCATGAGACCCACCACACTGGCAGCTGGTCATCACTACTCAGCCTCTGATTTCCTTTTTGTCATTATTTGTAGGAATCTTTTGTAATTAATGCTGTCATGACCCTGATGCAGGACACTCCTGGGAGGAATAGGCAGATAGCAATGGAGAGACACCATCACACCAGCACCAGCTCTCACCAGCATGAACCAGGAATGTGCTGGTGCTTCCTTGACTGGCCAGACCTGCAAGAATTCATTTCACAGATTCTCTTGCTCAACACCTTAATGAGTAGAATGAAATACTTGTCTGTATGTGTTTGGTGAGCAGCGAGCAGGACAGGTCATTGCATGCGCAGGCAGAGCCGGGCTGGAGTTTTTTGATGTAGCAAATTCACCTGAATTGCAATTAAGAGGTGCTGAGACTTCAGGCAAATTTGGGTGGACTAAGTAATTAGTTTAAGCTGAAAGAGAAGAAAAAGAGTCCTGAGAAGAGCAGCAAGGCTCCATCTTGACATTTTAAAAACTGATTTTTTTTCCCCTTGTTCTTTCAAGTGCTGGTTTTGGCTTGAAAGTGACCTAGTTTGCTTTTTCTTTTCTTTTCTTTTTTCTAATTTTTTTAAGTCATGAAAAGCAGTAAATAATCTCAAACCAGAATGTCTCATGCTATGCTTATGAAAAGAAATCAAAGAAGAAAAGAAACATTCTCCTTTAGGGGGTGATCCAAACCGAAAAGTATTTTCAATTTTTCCCTTCAGCCACTGAAATGAAAAACCTATTATTTGTACAGCTACACTACTGAAAGGCATCACTTCAATGTGTACTGCTGGCAATTTCTTCTTTCTACCTGCCAAGGGAGGGGTTTGTCTTCAAGTTCAATAAAAGTATAAGAGAGAAAGAGCAAAAAGGCAATTTATCAATGTAGAGTAGGAGATAAAATGGCTTTTCTATATTTACTTGTTTCTCTGAAAGAAGGACCCTCAGCTCTTTGCTGGCTGCCCCACTCTGCTCAAAATGATATAGACATGAAATCTTACAGACACAAGTCCTGAGCCCTCATCACACAGAAGATTAATTGCAGATGTGAAACCTTCTGACTTCACTGACATGTAAGGCCTAACCAACATTGGAGAAAGCAAAGGTCAAAATTTATTTGGGTCAATAACACCAGCAGTGACAAGCACCCAGAAGATCATAAACCTCAGTCCTTGCTGTAGCTTTGGGGCATCCATCTCTTCCCTTCACAGCAGAACCTGATGTCAGCAGAGGCTGCTGCTGTCAGGTGTTCAGCGCCAGCATCAGAGATGGGTTTGTGGGTTTGTGTCTCACCACAGAGCACGCACTGTGCCCACTGTCTGCTGTGGCTGCCCAACAGGATGGGATGGGAGGGAAAGGGATGGCTGGAAACACAGGACAAGGCCCACTAGCTGCATTTATATTCACACTTGCTAAAATACAGAGCTGGAGAAGGAGACATTGCTGCTCGGGCTGGGGTCTCACCAGGCTGGGATCACAGCTCCAGCTGCTTGAAGGGCTCAGCCTTGCTACAGTCAAAAATCAACACCCATTAACTCCATCTTTCAAGAAGACAAATCAAATGTGAGATTTTTCCAAAGGGCCTGCACTCAGGTTCTGTGTGCAGTCTTCACCTAGGGCAAGGGGTGCTCATTTTACACACCTATAGCTTCCACCATTCCTCTGAGGAAAAACATGGTGAGAAAAGACCCACATTCCTCCTATAACTTGATACAATATTAAAAAAATAATAGGGGCTAAATACATTAAGACACGTTTCACTCTGCAGCTTTTACTGTACCAAAAAACAGCAATGCAGATCACAAGGACGGTCCATTTTCAATCTAACCTGCAAATTTCATCCAAACAGCAGGAAAAAATAGCATCATATTGGAATGACAATTTCACCAATGTTTTACAATCCCTCTATCTGTCAGGAGTGGCTGCTGGAGCACAAGCCCCAGTTAAGCTCCTCTTCTGGAGCATTTCCAGTTCAAGACAATCTGCCACACAGCCTCTCAGAGCACTCACAACTGCATGGGGATTTTTTTTTTTTAGTACCATAAACTGTAGAATTCACATGGCCAGAACAGCAGGAAAATAAAAGTTAATGACCTGAGATTAACTCAGACAGAAAAGAGATTAAAGCATCAAACCCTAAATGCTACAGCATGCAAGAGCTTGATCTGCTAGACAAGTATAGGCTGGAAGTGTTTGCCCAAACACTGCCCTTAAAATTGGCTCCAGCCACGTGGCTCAGGTGCTGCTCAGTGGAGATGCAGATGCTGTGCAAAGGATCTCCCATTTCTCTGAACTATCGTGTCTCCTCACATATGGTTCAGCTTTAGAGCTCTAACTGCATCCACCAACTAGACTGGGAGTAAAATTCAGTGGCTCTTCCAGAAGACACAGACTCAGCTACTTCTCCTCTTCTCCATGAGGAACAAACAAAGGCACAGTGTCATGAGATACTCAATTCAATCTGATCCACCTAGATCAAACCAGGACTGGTGACCACCTGAGGCTGGTGATACTCACACACCACCTTGCTGCTCTGAGCCCCCAGAATAGCACACTGGAGCCCTTTGCATTTAATGATTTCTTGATTGAGATGAACAACCTTTCCAACACCTTGTAGCACCTAAGAAGAGTTCATGTGTGATCCCTTCTGGATAGCATCTGTCCTGGGGGAGCCAGGCAGTGTGGGGTGCACACCACTGGTTCCTGGGATCAGAGCAGCCCCAAGCCACACCAAACCGTTGCTTGGTGGCCAGGCCAGGGCTCTGGTGACTGCAGAGCCACCACCAGTATGTAGCAGCCTGGTGTAAGTGTGAGCTTGGGCGGGGATTGCAGCCGGAGAGAGGCCACGCAGCAGCTGAGGTGGTCACAAGGCATACGAGGTCTGCTAGATGGGGCAGCAGGGAGCACCAAGGAGAGCGGGGTTCGGTATCCCTGTGGAGAGAGAGGCTGGGACAAGAGAGAAAAATCCATTTCTGTTCATGTTGCAAACCCTGCAGGGGTGGCTGGGCACTGCTAGTGTGTTCTCCAGCAAAGAGAGGGCACTGATCCTAACACATGCTTCCAGGGAACTTTTGGGGTTTGGGATTGATATTCACCACATTAAAGGGATGATATTTGCAGCCAAGGCAGAACTGAGGCTGAGGCCAGATGCAGGGAGTGAAGAAAAGAGGTTGGTTCAGCTGGAGATGAGGAAGAGAGCTTGGCCAGGCTGTGGGAGAAGGTCTCAGGCAGCAGCCTTGCTGCAATCACAGATGGGATT